ATGAGATCCCAATCACTGCATGTGTTCAAGCAAAGGCTGGCTGAACAGGTAGTAAAATAAAGTTACAACAGCATAGGGAACGTTAGTGATTTGAATTCTAGTGACATGAGAGGATTCCAACAGAGATACGCAGCCAGCGAGCTGTGCAAACGACTGAGCAAGCTCCTGAGCTAGCGTCCTCTAAGGCCTCCTGTGGTGCTATGGTAATGAATTCCTTGCAAGGCCAGCTGTTAGCAGCAAGACTCAGATACTGCTGCAGAGGGTTCAAATGCTCCAAAGGCAGTGACTCCAGCGTTCCTGGGTATTGCCTGCCTGATAAGGTAAGCGGCTACACAATTCGTTCTCCAGCCCTCCTGCATGCAGGAGAGCTTAGATGCACTCTACAGAGCCCCCATTCATTCTTCCTTTTCCTGAGCCCTTAGCCTAGCCTAGGGAAAGAGGTTGAGACAGCCCGATCTCTATGGGTCCTGATGGCTTTCTGGTCATCAGAAAAGATGTCAGAGGAGCAGTACTGATGGCAGAACTTAGGGAGGGGGCACAGTGCGGCTGTCACTGTCTCCTTCCTGTCTGGGACAAATTAGGAAGAGTCACAAACTAATAATAGTTAACATGGGGGCTAGGTGCAGTGGTTCATGCCTGCAATTCCAACACTTTTGGAGGCTGAGAAGGGAGGATCACTTGAGGTCAGGAGTTCCAGATCAGCCTGAGCAACATAGTGAGACCCCCATCTCTACCAAAAAAAATAGCTAGGCGTAATGGTGCACACCTGTAGTCCTAGCTACTTGTGAGTCTGGAGAAGAAGGATTGCTTGAGCCCAGGAGATCACGGCTGCAGTGAGCCATGATCATGCCACTGCACTCCAACCTGGGCAACTGAGCAAGACCCTGTTTCTAAAAAAAAAAAAACAAAAAAACCAGGCCTGAGTGCAGTGGCTTGCACCTGTAATCCCAGCACTTTGGGAGGCCGAGGTGGGCAGATCACAAGGTCAAGAGATCAAGACCATCCTGGCCAACATGGTGAAACCCCGTCTCTAATAAAAATACAAAAATTAGCTGGGCATGGTGGCACGCGCCTGTAGTACCAGCTGCTTGGGAGGCTGAGGCAGGAGAATGGCTTGAACCCAGGAGGCAGAGGTTGCAGTGAGCCGAGATTGTGTCACTGCACTCCAGCCTGGCAACAGAGCGAGACTCTGTCTCAAAAAAAAAAAAAAAAAAAAAAAGAAAAAGTTAATGATGTATCAGAAATACTTACCTATGGCAGGCACTGCTCTAAAATTTTACAGCCAGGTGCATTGGCTCACATCTGTAATCCCAACACTTTGGGAGGCCAAGGTGGGTGGATTGTTTGAGCCCAGGAGTTTGAGACCAGCCTGGGCAACACAGGGAGACCCCATCTGTATTTTAAAATAAATAAACACATAAAATAGCAAACAAAAACAAAAAAAAAGTTTTAGATCTATTAAATTCACTTAATGGTCATTAGGGAAACTTCAGAATAAGTATTCTATGGGTTGAATATATGTGTCCCTTCAAAATTCATATGTTGGAACTTAACCCCCAGGGTGATGGTGTTAAGAGGTGAGACCTGGCCAGGTGCAGTGGCTCACGCCTGTAATCCCAGCACTTTGGGAGGCCGAGACAGGCGGATCACCTGAGGTCAGGAGTTTGAGACCAGCCTGACCAACATGGTGAAACCCCATCTCCACTAAAAATACAAAAAATTAGCTGGGCGTGGTGGCTCATGCCTGTAATCCCAGCTACTTGGGAGGCTGAGGCAGGAGAATCGCTTGAACCTGGGAGACAGAGGTTATGGTGAGCCGAGATAGTGCCATTGCACTCCAGCCTGGGCAACAAGAGTGAAACTCCGTCTCAAAAAAAAAAAAAAAAGGAGGCAAGGCCTTTGGGGAGGTGATTGAGTGGAGTGAGGGCTCCTCCCTTCTCACTAGTGGGATCAATAGCCTTATTAAGAGGGCTCAAGGCCAGCCTGACCAACATGGTGAAACCCCATCTCTACTAAATACAAAAAATTAGCCAGGCATAGTGGTGCATGCCAGTAATCCCAGCTACCTGGGAGGCTGAGGCAGGAGAATTGCTTGAACCTGGGAGGTAGAGGTTGCAGTGAATCGAGATTGCACCATTACACTCCAGACTGGACAACGAGAGCAAACTCCATCTCAAAAAAAAGGGATGGGGGGCAGGGCTTGAGAGAACTACCTAGGCCTTTTTTCCCCTCTGCCCTTCCTCCACGTGAGGACACAGCAAGAACGCTCTCACCAGACACCAGATATGCTGGTGCCTTGATCTTGGACTTCCCAGCCTCCATAACTGTGAGAAATAAATTTCTGCTCTTTTTTTTTTTTTTTTTTTTGAGACAGAGTTTTTTGGCCAGGTTGGTCTCGAACTCCTGACCTCGTGATCTTCCTGCCTTAGCCTCCCAAAGTGCTGGGATTACAGGCATGAGCCACTGTGCCTGGCCAATTTTTGCTTTTTACAAATTACCCAATCTGTGGTATTTTGTTATAGCAGCTCAGAAGGACTAAGATGAGGTATTTATTTATTGTCCCCCATTGTACAGCCCCAACAAGTTAAATATACTTCCCAACATTGCAAAGCTAGCCATTGGAGGCTCACACACCAGCAGTCTGTCTGCACAGCCCACGCTGTCACTCACTGGAAAAGGCTGTCTCAGAGCTCTTTTTGCCAACACTGCCAGTGTTGGAAGACTCACACTTGGCTTCCTCAGAGTTACCTTGTGTTTCCAGCTAACATGGACTGTAATATCAGACTGTAATACCTGGGTATATTGGTTTACTAGGGTGCCATACCAAAGTAGCACAAACAGCAGACATTTATTGTCTCATAGGCCTGGAGGCCAGAAGTCCAAAATCAAGGCATTGTCAGAGTTGGTTCCTTCTGAGGGCTGCGAGGAAGAAACTGTTTCATGCCTCTGCCATACCTTCTGCTGGTCTACTGACAATTGTTGGCATTCCTTGGCTTATAGAAGGATCACCCTTATCTCCACCTTCATCTTCACATGGCCCTCTCCGTGTGTGTGTGTGTGTGTTTACATCAAAATGTCCTCTTTTTATAAGGATGCCAGTCGTATTGGGTTAGGGCCCATCCTCATGACTTCATTATAACCTAATTCTATCTACAGTGTACCTATTTCCAAATAAAGCCTGTTAAATAAAATTTATAGGAGGCCATTGGCTTGGACTGAGCTCCTGCACTAGGCCCAACCAAAATGGAGTCATTAATGCTAAGGTTCCATGTCACCAAATGGAAAATAAGTTGTTTATCCGACCCTCTGAGAAATGAAGAGAGTGAGGGATATAGCCAAATCCCCAAAGACACCAGTTTTAGCTAGCATGATAAGGACGTCCCCTCTGCTTCAGCCTTAACAAGGAAGTAACTCTGAAACAACCAATCCACTTTTTGTTTTCTGTTCCCGCTTTCCTTAGCTTTTTTCTCTCCATTGAACCAAACTCCTCTGCTCAGCTCTTGGGAACACCCATTTTATTTTATAGGATCAGGTGTTGCTTGATTCTAGAATTGTAAATAAAAGCAGTTAAGATATTTCAACTAAATTTGTTGTAATTTTGTCTTTTTGTTTGTTTGTTTGTTTTGAGATGGAGTCTCACTCTGTTGTCCAGGCTGGAGTGCAGTGGCACAATCTGGGCTCACTGCAACCTCTGCCTCCCAGGTTCAATCGATTCTCATGCCTCAGCCTCCCAAGTAGATGGTATTACAGGAATGAGCTATCGCACCTGACCCTAATTTTGTCTTTTGACAGATCACATTCTGAGGCTAGTACCTCAGGGGTTAGGACTTGAATAAATGAATTTTGGAGGGACACAATTCAACCCATGACACGAGGCGCCAACACTACACTCTAGGCGAGATCTGAAGAACTAGAACTGACCTCAGTGGCCAAGAACAGATTTATTTACTGATGTCTTTGAACCCAAATAGGTAAAAATCATTTCCATTTCCATTAGGTCATATCTTATAGTCTCATTAGGCAAGGTGAATCTCCCAGAAGCCAGTGGCACGAGCCTGGAAGATTTATGACCTAGGCCAGGCATGTTGGCTCACACCTATAATCCCAGCACTTTGGGAGGCCAGGGTGGGAAGATCACTTGAGCCCAGGAGTTCAAGACCAGCCTGGGCAACACAGCAAGATCCTGTCTCTACAAAAAAAAAAACAATACTTATGACCTACTCTGCACTGCCCATGGTTTTGCAGAGGATGGGGGTCAGATGTCGAGAGGAAAGTATTCTAAACAACAATGACTCAAACTTCCAAGCCCTCTCCTAGGTCACCAGGTGACTTAGCTGTTTGACAAGATCACTGAAATTGCCCTTTCAAGAGCTACTAAAGTGTCAGAGGAAGAGATTCAAGTAATTTGTTGATTTAGCATTATGGTACTTTCTAATTATACTGTGTTATTTTTTTCTGTTTAGTTCCAAAACGTTTAGCAAATGTACCCTCCAAGGCACTGTGGGAAGTGGCAAGATAAAGACAGCACTGTCTACAAGGAGCTCACCATCCTGTGAAAGACACAGCAGGTAGCCAGCTACCTGTAGTGCAAGATCACCTGGATAAGAAGTGTTGTATAGAGCTTGCAGAAACAAGGGCAAGAGAAGGGGAGGAAGGGAAGGCTTCCTAGAGGTGTGGTACTTCAATGGGGCCAACTCATCACAGGTTATTTTGCCTCCTACAGGTGGCAATGAACCCCCAATAGCACACAGCCCTCTTCTGTTAAAGACCACCAGAATACACAACTTCTTAAAAAGGAAGAGCTAAATGAGAGATTCACCAAGGATAGAGGCTTTTCCCTTCACGTAATCATCAGAATGGAGAGGGGGAGGGTAAGGAAGATCTTTTACCTTTTGCAATATACAGATACTTCTGAATTATCATTTTTTGAAAGAACATTTATTGTTCATTCCATAAATATTTAAGTATTGATTCTGAACCAGGCACTGCTATAGGTGCTGGGGATTCAACGTGTACTATTATTATAATAAAAATTACAATAGAAACACTGAGAATAGATGACAAATGATTAGACTTTGAAACAGATTGCTTGAGTGTGTGACTGTCATTGATATTGATTTATTTTCCTTCAGATTGTTTAAAGTCTATCTTGAACGTCAACAGGTAAAAAAGGCACCATTAAAAAATATCCACTGAAGGTCAGGAGGGATTTTTATACTATCTGTATTTTTAAAAAATCTCCTACAGAGAGCACACAGGTAGAACCTGGGCTTCTACAAGCCCAGGCAGTGGTGGAAAAGTGACGGGGCTGGAGGACACACCTAAACATGTGGAATCCCAATGCCGGGCAGCCAGGGCCAAATCCATATCCCCACAACATCGGGTACCCTGGAGGTTCCAATTCTGCCCACCCACCACCTATCCATCTACCCTTTCCCCCAGGCCCCTTTCCTCCTACCCCAGGAGCTCCCCAGGGCAATCCAGCTTTCCTCCCAGGTGGACCCCCCTCTTCCTGTGCCACAGCCAGGGTATCCAACCCTCGGGTCCCTACCCTCCTCCACACCCACCGGCTGCCCCTGGAATGCCTCCTGCAAATCCCTTGGCTCCTGGCTTGGTTGGACCAGGCGTTGACAGTGGACAAAAAGATGCAGAAAAAAATGAAGCTCATAAAAAGATGCACAAGCACCACAAGCATGGCAAGCATTCCTCCTCCTCCTCTTCCTCCTCCTCTTCCAGCAGTGACTCTGGCTGAATACAGGCCCTGGACCCTTCCCTCAAGTCTCACCAGTTCTGCTCTCCCATCAAGCATCAGACACCACGTTGTACTGGGGGAAAGTAGCCCTTATGCTCCCCCGCTTCACCCCCACCTGAGCCTCACCCTGCTGTTGAGCCCTGAGTGGCTAGGGAAAATGGGAAGAGGACTGCCATGGCATGGCCATCTTCTTGCTGCTTGGATAGATCACACAGCTAACCAGTTTAGCAGGGGAGCCATTTTTTGAAGATGATGAACTAAATGTTGAAGACAAGTTAAAAAAACCTTCTATAGTACAAATATATTAATGTATTACTTGCAGAATAAAATTAAAATTTAGGAAAGATGTGTTAAGTTTTAGAGAGCTGATTATGCTGTTGTTGTTTCTTTTTATAATTGTGAAACATACCATAAATGAAAAGAAATATATAACAGATGCACAATTAACTTTTTTTAATTTCAATAGTTTTGGGGTTCAGGTGGTTTGGGGATACATGGATAAGTTTTTTAGTGATGATTTCTGAGATTTTAGTGCACCCATCACCTGAGTGTACCCTGCGCCCAATATATAGTTTTTTATTCCTCATCCCCCTCCCAACCTTCCCCACCAAGTCCCCAAAGCCCATTATATCATTCTTAGGCCTTTACAGCCTCCTAGCTTAGCTCCCACTTAAAAGTGAGAACATACAATATTTGTTTTTCCATTCCTGAGTTACTTCACTTAGAATAACGGCCTCCACCTCCATCCACGTTGCTGCAAAAGACATTATTTCATTCCTTTTTATGGCTGAGTAGTATTCCATGGTATATATATACCACGTTTTCTTTATGTACTCATTGGTTGATGGGCACATAAGTTGGTTCCATATCTTTGCAATTGTGAAATGTGCTGCTATAAACGTGGTTGTGCATGTCAGACAAACAGTTTAAAGGATAATACCCTCTAACATTCTGAGGCTAAAAACAATTACCCAACTAAGAAATGAAATAGGAACAATATCCTAGAAGGAAGCCCCCTCTGTGTTGATCCTGTGATCTTCTCTCTCTCTTCCCAGAGATAACCACCATCTTGACTTCTCTAATAACTCTCTAGATTTTTAGAAATTATTTGGCTACCTTTCTATATATCTCTAAATAATGTATTATTTAGCTTTGTCTGTTTTTGAATTATGTAAAAACAGAATCATTCAGTATGTATTATTCTATGACTTCCTTTTTTCCTCTCAAAATTCTTTTTGAGATTCACCCATGTGGATGCATGCATGCATCTAAGAATTCACTTTTTAAATTAATTTACGTTTTTATTGACTTGCTTTGGTAAGCTGATGAATGTTAAGGGTATATCTAACATATGTATGTATTTATTTTTGTAACCACCACTGACATCAAGATAGAGAACATTTTTAGCACCCTAGAAAGCTTGCTTGTTCTTTCCAATTACTATCCCACCATTCATACCTAAGCAACAAATAACCACTATTCATACCTAAAAAATAACTACCATTCATGCCTAAGCAACAATGGTTTTGAGTTCTTTCATTTTTCACTGCTGCATAGTATTCCAGTATATGCATATTTTACATATGCATACATATATATATTTTTTTCTAAGCCAGAGTCTTGCTCTGTCACCCAGGCTGGAGTGCAGTGGCACAATCATGGCTCACTGCAGCCTTGAACTCCGGGGCTCAAGTGATCTCCCACCTCAGCCTTCTGAGTAGCTAGGACTCCAGGCACATACTTCCATTCCTGGCTATATTTTGTAAATTTGGATATCAAGTGATTCCTGATTGGCTCTTGGATCTCTGAATGAGGTTAGCTAAGCAAGCTTGCCCCCATTATTTTATTAACCTAAAATGACATGAGTCTACAGTTTACACATGGTATTTTTTGAAACTCACTTAAAACATCATAACACAGCTTTGTTACACCAGTTTATTTAATCCTTCCTACTTTAGAAGGACTTTTTGGGGGATTTTTTTGGCGGGGGCTAACACAAACTGCTTCCAAGAATATTCTTCCACCTGTCTCCAGGTATACAGGTACACTATTTTCACTGGGATCTACACTCTAGGAAGGAGTAGCCGGATCGCAGTGTGTGAGCATGTTTTTGTTTTTGTTTTTGAGACGAAGTCTTGCTCTGTCACCCAGACTGGAGTGCAGTGGCACTGTCTCGGCTCACTGCAATCTCTGCCTCCTTGGTTCAAGTGATTCTCCTGCCTCAGCGTCCTGAGTAGCTGGGATTACAGGCACCTGCCACCACGACCGGCTAATTTTTGTATTTTTAGTAGAGATGTGGTTTCAACATGTGGGCCAGGCTGGTCTTGAACTCCTGACCTCAACTGATTCACCCACCTCAGCCTCCCAAAGTGCTGGGATTATAGGCATGAGCCACTGCGCCCAGCCGTGCATGTTTAACTTTACCAGATAATGCTGACAAAGCAGTTGTACCAATTTGCACTCCCACCAGCAGTACCCAAGAACTGCCTCTGCTCTTCATCCTCCCAACCTTCGATGTTTAATTTTAACCATTCTGGTAGTTTCTCATTAGGGTTCTAATTTGCATTTTTCTGATGAAACCTGTATCTTCATATTTATGCGCCTGTCTTGTTTCTTCTCCTATGTGAAATACACTATTTCTTTAACTGTCTTCCTCATGCCCCCTCCATCTGAAATGATTTCTAGTCATCTGATTTAGGGTCAGGAAAGACTATGCTGAGTGGCTCTCTAAATGACAAGATAACCAACTCTCCAGAGTTTACAGTCAATACAGCATAGGGGCATTAATAGATGGAACTATGACATTCCAATCCTCAGCGGGTTCCCAAGTAATTGAAGGACTGGAATAGTTTATCAGGAAAGGGGCCAAATGTGGTGGGCAGACTTCTATGATAGGCCCCTAGATTCCTGGACCGTGAAGTGCAGGCACTTTCTCCCAAACATCAATCAAATACTCATCTAGGCCGGGCACAGTGGCTCATGCCTGTAATCCCAGCACTTTGGAAGGACAAGGCAGGTGGATCACCTGAGGTTGAGAGTTTGAGACCAGCCTGGCAAACGTGGTAAAGCCCCGTCTTTACAAAAAATACAAAATTAGCAGGGTATGGTGGGGCATACCTGTAGTCCCAGCTACTCGGGAGGCTGAGGCAAGAGAATCGCTTGAACCATGAGGCAGAGGTTGCAGTGAGCCGAGATCTTACAACTGCACTCCTGCCTGGGTGACAGAGCAGGACTCTGTCTCATATAAATAAATAAATAAAATAAAAAATAAAAATACAAAAATCAGTCAGGCATGGTGGCGCGTGCCTGTAGTCCCAGCTACTTGGGAGGCTGAGGCAGAAGAATCACTTGAACCTGGGAGGTGGAGGTTACAGTGAACTGAGATTGTGCCACTGCACTCAAGCCTGGGCGACAGGCTGGACAGACTCTGTCTCAGGAAAAAAGAAGAAGAAAAGAAAGAAGAAGAAGAAAGAAGAAAGAAGAAAGAAGAAAGAAGAAAGAAGAAGAAGAAGAAGAATGAAAATACTGACGTGGTCACTGCTGTGAAGCGATTCTGCAGATACTGTATAATTAAGGTCCCAAATTAGTTGACCTTGGGAGGTTATCCAGTCACGCCTAATTTAATCACTCTGCCCTTTAAAAGGAGAGAATTTTCTAGCTGGTCCCAGAAGATTAGAAGGCAGAGAGATATACTCCAGATGAGTTGGAAGAAAGGGAACATCGATGTGGGGAGCTGACCTTGGGGGACACGTGCTAAGGAACTGCGAGCAGCTTCTGGGAGCTAAGAGCAGGCCCTGGCTGACTAGGAGGAAAACAGGACTACAAGGAAAAGAATTCTGCTGACAACCAGTGAGCTTGGAGGAGGACCCTGAGCCCAGATGAGAACTGCGGACCTGGACCGCATCCTGATTTTAGCCTGGTGAAACCCTGAGCAGAGACTCCAACTAGACCATACCAGGACGTCTGACCCCCCAAACTGGGAGGTAATAGATTTGGGTTGCTTTAAGCCCTTACATTTGTGGCAATTTGTTATGCAGCTATAGAAAACCAATGCACCAAGGAATTCTGGAACTAGACCTGCTGAATTATCAGGTCAGGAACAGGTCCCTTGTGTAAAGTATAGACCTAGAGGAATCTTTGACATTGTTGTCAATGTGTACGGCGCCTTCTGAAATTGGGCAGTGCATGCTTAGCCCAACACTTAGCCCAACAGTACACAGCACCCTTGCAGGAAACTTGACTCATGCCCTGTGAGAGCATCTGGGCTACCGCTTTTAACCTTTTTAGCCCTTAGTAAAAATGAGAGGATTGGTTTGAACATACCCTAAGGTCCAGATCAGCTCAACGCTTGGAGCATTTGGTATATTTTGTGAATCGTCTACCATACGCTGGCCCTTCATAGCTCATCTATAGTTGTTACTTTCTCAATTTCACCCTCTCCTTCACTTGAAAAATCTTAAATTTATTTACATCTTCAATTTAAACTTACCGATATTCAACTCTCTGCCCAAATGCCTTCTGTTGTTTTTCTTAAAACCTTCCACGTTGTCAGTTCATAAGAACAAGTTTGCCTGTTGCCTTATTCTGTTTTCTGTTATTATAACAGTATCTGAAACTAGGTAGTTTATAAATCAAATTTATTTCTTAGAATTACAGAAGCTCAGAAGTCCCAGGTTGAGGGACTTCTGGTGAGGGCCCTCTTGCTGGTAAGGACCCTGCAGAGTCCCAAGGCAGTGTAGGACATCACATGGCCAAGTGTGCTAGCTCGGATTTTTTCCTGTTTTGTCACTCAGGCTGGACTAGAGTGCCACGATCACAGGTCATTGTAGCCTCAAACTCCTAGGCTCAAGCGATCCTCCTACTTCAGTCTCCTGAGTAGCTGGGATTACAGGAAGGTCCCGCTATACCTAGATTATTTATTTATGTATTTGAGATGGAGTTTTGCTCTTGTTGGCCAGGCTGGAGTGCAATGGCGTGATCTTGGTTCACCACAACCTCCGCCTCCCTGGTTCAAGCAATTCTCCTGCCTCAGCCTCTTGAGTAGCTGGGATTACAGGCACGTGCCACCACACCCAGCTAGTTTTGTATTTTTAGTAGAGACGGGTTTTTCCATGTTGGTCAGGCTAGTCTTGAACTCCCAACCGCAGGTGATCTGCTCGTCTTGGCCTCTCAAAGTGCTGGGATTACAGGCATGAGCCACTGTGCCTGGCGATAATTTATCCTTTATTT